ACCTGGGTTGTGGGCTCGAGCCCCAGTGGGGGACTTGCAAGAGGCAGCCGATCGATTGTGGATATTTCTCTCTCTCTCTCTCTCCCTCTTCCTTCCTCTCTGAAATCAATAAAAATATATTAAAAAAGAAAAAGAATCCATTGGAGGTCCTGGAATGTAACTCCATGAATAAGGGAGGGATTCCTACTATAAGAGCAAACTTTGAACTTGAAATTAGCACTAGGAAGGGCATTTTAGCCTTACCACAATTAACATAAACAATCAATTTCTTGTGGTTGAAGAGGCTATGCTCATTTTAGGAGAATCAAGGAGAAAGTAGTGGGGTATTTTTAAATGATGTTTTTTCCCTGTACATAGGATTCGTAAATGAAGATTCTGAGTCCTTACTCTGAGGGACCATGTTCTCCTAACTGTCCAGCATTTGTCCCTGGGCTCCTTCAGGAGGCAACCAATCGATGTGTTTCTCTCACATCAATGATTCGCTCTGTATTTTGAGAGGCTTCAAAATACTCCCAATCTTTGGTCATATCCTCAAATGTTGCTGCCTCCTGAAATGACACCAGTTGCTGCCAGAGGTGCCATTCTGTTGGGGAGCTAGGGCTGAGGAGCAGCTGCAGCAGGACTGGGGAACAGACAGGGAAAGGTACCAGGAACAAAGGTTTGCCAACATAAAGGACTCTAAATAGGAGTCATGTGAATTTCACACAACAGCATAGATAACAGAAGTAAAGAAAAGATCTCATATTCAACAAGATGAGACCAACTTGGTGGTGGGAAAAAGGTTCTGCCCTCCTGAGAGGTCTGTGGGCCTGGCCTGTTCTGATATCGCCTGAACTAGAGTCCACACATTTCTAGAACCAAGCAGAGTCTCTAAGTGAGCTTGAACACTCCAAGGCCAGGAGACACTTCGGGGTAAAGGTTTGATGACTCTGAACAGAGGTGGCAGGATATGTTTCCAAGAATGTCAGGAGGCTATCATGCCAAAAAAGAGATACCCCAAATGGAGTTCCCACTCCACCAAGATTGGAGAATTCCTCAGGGAGAGAACTTCATACTCAGGTGTGTAAACGAAGCTTCCTTAGTTATAACAACTCCAGGATATGCAATGGTGATGAGGCCAGGGGGAAAGTTCATATGATGATCACAGGCATCCCAACAATCTTAGGAAAACAAGATCCCTGGGTTCCCAGACATCAGATGCAGAGCTGAGGGGCTGGGCAGAACCCCGAGAAGCAGAGAAAGATAGAAACATTTAAAAACTCTCAGTGAAATTCTTAGTTAAGCTGAGCATACTTCCAAGGTCCTAAAGGTTCCACAGTAAAAAAGCTTCAAATTCCCTTCCTCAGCATCACTAATTGACTATGGAACATTCCTGATTCTAAGACATTATTGACTGTAAGACCACTGTCTTAATGACAACTTTCTTTTGAGAGGAGAAACAGAGAACCTACATTAAATAACACATCCAAATTTTAAAATGTGAAAAACACACGTCAGAACTGAATAGAATGCTTACGCAATACTCTTTAAGCCAGAGCTCAAGATTTTTAGTGCAAACTGACAGTTTAAAAGCTCTGAGAAGTCTTCCAGTAAACAAATAAACCGAAGAACAGTTTTTTTCATCCACCAGTGCCATTTAATTATTGACTTTGTTTCTGAAGGAATATATATTATCATCTCACAGTCCTAGGGTTCTGAAAGACTTGAAACCACAAGAAAATCCAGGAAAGCATCTTCCAGATTCCTCACTAAAAACTAGCATTCCTCAGAAATAGAGTGGCTGCACTGGCCATTATTTGAAGGCCTTTAGGGGACTGTACAGGAATTAAAAGCCTCACCTCTACCTCATAAAAGAATTTAAAGATAGACTGAAAATTATTTATTTTTTAATATAATTTTATTGATTTCAGAGAGGAAGGGAGACAGAGAAACATCAATGAGAATCATTGATTGGCTGCCTCCTGCACGCCCCCTACTGGGGATTGAGCGCGCAACCTGGGCATGTGCCCTTGATCGGAATCAACCCAGGATCCTTCAGTCCCGCAGGCTCACGCTCTACCCACTGAGCCAAACCAGCTAGGGCTGCAAATAAGTTGTAATCAAAAGATGCATAATGCCCTGGCCAGATTAGAGCGTTAGCCAGAACACCAAAGGTTCCATTCCCAGTCAAGGGCACTCCCTGGGTTGCATATTCGATCCCCAGTCCCAGTTGGACACGTGTGGGAGGCAACCAACCAAAGTGTCTATCTCACATAGCCACTTCTCTCTCTCTCCCTCCCTCCCACTCTCTGAAAATGGATGGAAAAAATACCCTCAGGTGAGGATTAATAACAACAAAAAAGGTGCATACTCTCAATCTTTGAGTTATGGTCTATACCAGTGGTCGGCAAACAGCGGCTTGCGAGCCACATGCGGCTCTGGCCCCTTGAGTGTGGCTCTTCCACAAAATACCACGTGTGGGCACGCACGTACAGTGCGATTGAAACTTCGTGGTCCATGCGCAGAAGTTGGTTTTCGGCCTGGGCGAGTCTATTTTGAAGAAGTGGCGTTAGAAGTGGGGGGTGTTGGTTGGTCGGGCAACGGGAGACCATAGGGTGACGGGAGACACTGCGCAGGAGAGGTACATTGTTTTGAGGTACGTTCACTGAGGTCGACCCCTTCCAACTCTCCCATCCACACTCCTCTATCTGAAACAAGTATACAAGACGCGTGTGGATGGGAGAGTTGGAAGGGGTCGACCTCAGCGAACGTACCTCAATCTGATTGAGGACGTTTTTAGCAAAGGCCAGCTTAGGAGTACTCTCAGTAAGTTAATAACAATGTACCTACCTATATAGTTTAAGTTTAAAAAATTTGGCTCTCAAAAGAAATTTCAATTGTTGTACTGTTGATATTTGGCTCTGTTGACTAATGAGTTTGCCGACCACTGGTCTAAACCATAAGATCCTAAAGCACAGCCCAAGAGCCACATTTGACTAATAGACCTATTGTTTTGTTTGGTTCATCCAGTGCCTTTTTTTTTTTTTAAAGAATGACTTACCTATATTTAGATTGGGAGATTTCATGTAAAAATGTAGATTTCTGACTTTCTTGAAAAATGGGAAGATCTGGCCAAACCAGGAACTTTGCTGGAGTTCCTAGTTTGGCTGGAGTGGAGGGGTAGCCGCACCCTTCAGATATAGGGTACACTCCCGTTTCCCATAGTCCCCAAGCAATCAACTAATTTATTCACCTTACCTGCCCATCCCTGTAGTTATCTGAAATCTTAACACCTGCTCTAGAGCAGAATAGAATAAATATGGTCAGCTTCGTGGTGTGACCTGTGCTAGTGGGGTAACAGATAAATCAGCTTTATGAGAGAAAACTGGAAACATCTGTTCAACTCACCTGTGATTCTTTGCGTTGGCTTTCCCCAACTTCAATTGTTTCCATTGATCTTCCAAATCACACCCAGCTCAAATTCTCCTCCTTCCTAATGCATCAGCAACTCCAGCCGATGGCTCTTTCTGCCTCCTTGCACAGCAGTACTCACTGGAGTACTTTGTTTTGCCCTGTTAGTCGACCGGTTTAAGTGCACAAAACCTAGAAAGCAGGGGCTGAGCCTTCTACCTCGCTGTGTCCCCTCAGAGGGCAGAGGAGTCTAGAGCTGAGACAAAATGTTCCAAGGACATTTGTCAAACACGTTGCTCCCGGGTTAGCGAGGCCGTGCAGAAGTATGGCGGAGTCTCGGCTTGGGAATTCCATGTTTGACCGTTTACTGTGACTACCGGCAACGGCACTGAAGCTTCAGCTTCCATCGCAATGGGTTGTTATGACGACGCAGCGATAATGCAGATAAAGCACTAGTGTCCCCCCACCCTCCCAACACAGAACCCCCCCAGCTTATTCCTGAAGACCTGATTCAGGCGTCCCTTCTTTGGCTACCTTGGTCCCGACTTCGAGCTCTGAGCTCCTACCGAGCCGGCTCCACACCTTTGGGCCGGCTAATCGGCGCCCCCGCCCACTCCTCAGAGGGCGGCCAGCTCAGGGCTGAAATGTATGAGCGGGAAGAGACCAAATCCGTCGTCATTTTGCAGAGGCGGCAGGCCCGGAAGTGGGAAAGGACGCGTCAGGAGCCAGAGTCCGGAGCCCCTCCACCCACAAGTCCTTGTCCAGCCCCCACTCGGCGCCTCACCTCCGGCCCCGCCCGCCCAAGGGCCCGCGGGCAGAAACGGCTCCGCGCCAAAGCACGGACGGGAATCTATCCCGTTGGGAATAGAGTTCTGCTCAGACCTTAGGCTGCTCCGTGCCCTGCAGAAGCCGGTGCCCTGCAGAAGCCGCGGTTAGTGATACAGGGGTCTGTAAAGGTGTCAGTTGGCTGCCTGTTTCCTTACGTTGCTGTAAAGCCTTCATAGAGCCGTGGGCCGGGAAAGCTGCATTCATCACTGTTTGGATTCTTAATGTGGAGGAAGGGCAGGGTGCTTATGTTGTCAACAACGTACACCATTTTACCTGATCCTTTGAGAACCTGCATTTTAGATGAGCACTTTGTGGCACTCACCCAGCACCGGTGCATAAAACAAGATAGTGAAGGAGGCCCTCAGGTATTCCACAGAAATTGAGGCTCTCAGTGTATCAGAACTTGAAGCAGTGGTCTAGATGCTACTGGCAAGTCACAGCAGCTCTAGTCTAAAACTTTCTATACAACGGCTATATAAAACTTTCATACAAAAAAATGAAAGAAACATGCTGTTCACATTAGGAGGAAGGCAGTAAGACAGGTTTGAGGGGCAGTTCCCAACTAGCTTTTCACCTAGGCCTTCTTCACAATGAGCACCCCCTAATGCTGCTGTCTGCTATCAAAATAACAACCACTCTTCTTATTGCAGAAAATTGTTAGAAAGCCACAAAGTAGGGGTGTGGCCTCTATCCAGACAGCAAATGTCACCTGAACTTCCCTGAAAACTGACCCACTGGAAACCAAGTAGTATCCCAAATTACCATACATAAAACAAAGGCTCTCCAGTTTAAGTTTTTAATGAAAGTTGTATATAATATTACTTTATTCCTGCATCTTCTCAATTGTTTCTTCCTTGTATTTTCCCTTTTCCTTTCCTACTTGGCGAGATTTGGCTTTACGTTCAAGGATCTTTTTGCGGTCTTTGTCCAGCTTTAGTCTGGTGATAACCACCTGCAGAAAAATAAAGACACTTCTAAACAACACAGATCACATGGGAAGGCCCAACATTCAATTGCATTTACCAAAGCTAGATAATAAACACCAAAGCATGAAATGATGAACTCAAAAGTGCCAAAAAAATGATTCTTCAGCTCCCAAATCAAACCCATTAAACATTCATTATTGTTCTACCAACAAAGAGGCAATGTGATGTCAGTGAATTTCTCGTTTCCTCTTCTGTGCTTTATTAGAAAATCTGCTTCTTTTTCTATTGCAGAATATACCATTCACTCCTCTCATTCTAGTTGTACAAGCTAACCAAATCTTAGTTTTGTTTCGATACCAACTTTAGAGCCATAACATTGGAAAGCCTACACTCATGCTGCAACCTGCACAACCTTCAACTCTTCACTAAAGACCTCTAGACTATGATCAATTTTAGCCTTATGAAGAAAGGTGAGTAAGAGGGAAGAGAGCACAGAACTAGTTCTGGAAATATAGCATGGCGACCAAAAGAACATCTCTGCCATCATGGAACTTCTATTCTAGTCCGGGGAGATGGCATGATGGAGAACAGGTGCTAAATCACATAGGGTAATCAGGTGAAGCGCTACTGACAGGGCTACACTCCAACAAGACACTAGTAAAAGAAGGGGTACAAGTTATCTGGGTATAGAAGCGCCCCACAGATAACAGCAAATACAAAGGGCCAGAGGCAGGAGAACTGAAGTTTTGTAGGTGTGCATTTCTCAAACTCAAGTGTGCCTAAGAACCCACTGGAAGGCTGTTAAAACAGCTACCTGGGTCCCATCCCCAAATTGTCAATAGAGCTGGGAGCAGAATTTGCAGTTCTATCAAGTTGCCAGGTCACCCTGCTAACTAGTGGATACACTCTGAACAGCATGGTTGTAGGAACAGAAAGGCAAGTAGACACATGGAGAATGGAAGATGACATGAAGTAGTTTGTGAGGGGTGATCAGGTATGGTCTATAGGTCACTCTGACGGTTAACAAGCAGACAGGATTCTGTATATAACATACAGCAATCAACAGGTCTTATTGATCAATGTGGGGCATATAATAAAAAATTACACTTTGGCCCTAACCGGTTTGGCTCAGTGGATAGAGCATTGGCCTGAGGACCGAAAGGTCCTAGGTTTGATTCCGGTCAAGGGCATGTGCCTTGGTAGCGGGCTCATCCCCAGTGGGAGGTGTGCAGGAGGCAGCTGATGGATGTTTCTGACTATTCCTCTCCCTTCCTCTCTGTAAAAAAACCATATATATATATATATATATATATATATTTTAAAATGGCATTTTGGCCTGAGCAATTAGGAGCACAGAGCTGTTATACACTGTGATGGTGGCAAACTGTGAGGTTAAGGATAACATCAGGAGTTTGAACATGTTAGGTTTTAGATAACAATTAGATACCCAAGTTGAAAAATAGACAACTGGATTGGAGGTCTAGGTCGGAATCATCTGCAAGTCCTAAGACTGGACTAAGAGATGGCTACAAAGGCACAAACTGAGGCAGTATCGTGACACTCGTAATCCAGGGGTAAAGAATATGGCAAAATGCTAATAGTGAATTGTAGGTGAAAGATATGCTGGTGTTTTACTGTATAGTCTTTTGACTTTTCTGCAGTGTAAAATTTAGATTTGTGGTTCCAACTTAACATCTTACAAAATAAACACTTCAATATCTAAACACTCACCAGGTGCCATTACCTTAATATTAAACGTAATTTTAAAAAACGGCAAGAGAGAAATTAGAGAGTAATATTGGAGAATTCGTATTAAAGTCCGGGACAGGCACCTGCTATGGGAGTCCGACCACACTTTCTATCTCGGCTTAGATTATCGCTCACTATGAATTTGATCCATCTTTGAGCTTCAGGTTCCCCCCATTAGCAAAGGGCTCAGTAGCTACTTTGCAGGGTTGTAAAGTTGCCTTGCTGCTCACTCAACAGTTTAATACACCAAAGCAAGCAGGGTATAAGCTCTATTTCATCTAAAAATTACCCCACTTCCTACATTTTAAGATCTGTTCATTGTTATTATTGACCAATCAGGTTACTAAGCTTTTGAGGAAAAAGTACTTTAAATATACACATATAATGATGGTTAAAGACCTTGATATTAGAATACTCAATTCACATCTAAAACCTATCTCCACGGGACTGTTCTATAAACAAGCACATGTGGCAGCAATAGCTTTCATGCCCTTCTCCCCTCTCACGCTTTCTCAAAACACGTACCTTGCTGGGATGAATGCCCACGTGAACCGTTGTCCCATTAGCTTTCTCCCGTTGCACTCGTTCAATGTAGATGACGTATTTCTTCCTGTAAACCTGGACTACTTTGCCAATTTGCTGCCCTTTGTAATGTCCTCGAACAACCTGAGTGCAGATTCAAAAATAACAGAAATATGTAATGTAGATAAAAAACAAGATTAACCTTGTAAATCAGGAAACTATGAATCTTGTAAACATTCATCACTCTATCAGATCTATAGGACCTCTCCATTTTGAAAGCTTTAAATAGAAATGAGCTAGTAATTCTATCTCTAGCTTTAATTAATCTGCAAATAAACCACACCGCCAGAGAAATCTACAGTGATGGACTGTGCACCCTTGTAACTGATGGTTCACCAATAGTGGTGGGCTTGCTAAAAGCCCCTGGCTATTTGTAGCAAGTGGAAAACACGGAAATTGTTCATCTCAAAGGGAGCAGTAGGAACACATAGAGTAATTCACAACCCATCCAAGTGCCCAACCTAGTGCCAGCCAAAGGGTGGGCAGCAGCAAGTATTTAAGGAAACAAACCACTTCTTGCCCAAAGGTTAACTGACAGTCTTCTACCCAGGAACCCCCAGCTTGTCAGGAGGCAACCCAAAGTGCTCCTGGACAGATGCGTCTTTCCAACTGCACACTTTCTTGCATTAAGAGATGCTGAAAGCAGAAGGCTCACTCCCAAAGCTAATGGCACTGTTTGCACCTGCCGATGGCTGTTCTCAATCCCTACCACTATTTGGGAACCAGTTTCATTTACTTGACTGGGCGCTATCCTCATGAAACATTATTGCCGACACGCAAGCCACTTCAGAGACTGTGTAAAGCCTTGCTGCAGGTTACTGCTAAAAAAAGAAACATTTATGGCAATTTCCACTTGCATAGATTTGACACAAAATTTTCTAGTAAACTCAATCACATGAAGCCATGGTTCTGTTAGATTAGAACCTCTGAATTTTTTTAAAAAATTAAATTTATTGGCGTGACAGGTATCTGGATTGTGATTCAAAGACTGTTTACGGGTCCTCAAAAGCCTCTTCCATGGCCAAACATAGCGAGAAAAGGATAAACCCTAATGTTCTAGTTCTGAACTATCTCTCTTGCTCTTCTGAACTGTGGCTGGACCGGACGCGTGGGTCCACTGACTTTGACCAGAGTAAAAGATGGCATGGCATCCCTTTGGTTCGTTTTCCGTCCCTGGCTCGGCTTCTGTAATCCTGTTCGGAACACTGTCTGCTCTCAGGACGCAGCCCCTTTTCTAGGCCAAGTGACCCCAACACAGCACATACCTGAACCTCGTCATCCTTTCGGATGGGCATGGACCGAACATTGTACTTCTGTCTCAGCTCTTTGGAAAGAGGAGACGACATGATCTTCCTTCGAATGTGGGAAGGTGCATTGAAATGCCTTTTACGGTTCTTGCTCCGGTCAGAAGTCACAAAGGGGTTGAACTTCATTTTGACTAAATAAAAAGTTTTTAAAAAAAAGGGGGGGGGTGTAGAGTAAATGACCAAAACCCCAGTTACTTTCCAAACAAGTAACAGCAACCATTTCACCCTGAAAGTTGAGAACGCTCACAGAAACTGTCGGGTTAACTCCATCACAAAATACTTAACGGGCCATCAACTGAGGCTTGACATTCTAAATGCTTTGCTTTACTGATACAATGCCAACATTTGTTTATGCAATAATTTTCCATGAGTAGCACAATTTTAGTTATTTCTTGTTTACTCCTTAAGTCCTGCGGCAGGGCTTTCATTTCTAATGCATTAGGGCAAAGCTGACAACTCAGTTCTTCAAACATCACGTTTGAGAAACACCAGCCAGCGATAATCTTACACGGGCTTGATGAACACACTCAGCTCCGTCCAGAAAGAACCAGGCCGCCCACCCGGAACCGGGAAAATGCAGATCTCAGGCCCCAAATACCTTCCAGTGGGCGGGCGCGGCTTGAAATTCCGTGGCTTTACTAACAGTTACTTCGAGACCATTCTTTAGAAGCTACACTGCCCGGGCCTGACTCCATATCCACAGGCCCTCTCCCTCCAGCTCCGTTTCCGAATCCCCAAATCCTCTTTTCTCCTCCCTTCCCCAGCCTGACGGCCCCGGAGCTAGTGGGAAAGCAGGCGGGAACCATCTTGGACCCTCTCCCTGGCTGCTACTCGGCCGCTGAGAGAGTATTGGGGATCCCGAAGTCAAGAGCCCCCGCGCCCAACCACGGATGGCTGCGGATTACACGCGCTTTCCCCGCACATCCTCACCCGCTGGCGCTCCTACGATGGCCGCAAGAGGGAAGAGACTCACACGCTGTTTCCGGTTCTGTAAGTTCACGAGAGCTCTCGCGAGACCGAGGTCTAGAGCGAGAGAGGCGCGGAGTTTGAACGAGAAGAGGAAACTGGGGGGAAACTGATGACTAGTGCCACCTCTCGGCTAGGAGGGGAACTGCGAAGGACTACAAAACTCCCTTTTCAAGGTCCTGGGTCCTTTTTTCGGAGCTCTGGATTCTGCAGCTACGTCCTCTGGGGAGGATCGTCCCCCGGCGAGTGGCGGGGACTGCTCAGGGTCGGACTGCTCCAGTGGCTGCTGGGAAAACGAACGGCCCCAGGGGACCCCTGTCCCTTCACTCCTATGCGCCCGGCAGCGGACACGCCATTATTCCGCAAAGGACAGGTGTTATCGTTGACCGCCAGGTGGCGCTGGGACTCTAGCTGGCCGGTCACCCGGCTTACCTGACCACACCGTCCGCGCCCCAGCCAAAGGCGTGGGCGTGTCTGGTCCTTGAACACTCCCGGTGCGGACGCCGCAGCCGCCCACTCCCCACGGCGGGTGCGGAAGGTGCCTCCCGGCTCGCCCCAGATTTCGTCCGGGCGGGCGAGGGGCCGTCCGAGGACCGGGGCCACAGATCAGCCTCCCACTCCGCTCAGCTGGCCAGAACCAGCGTCTCTCACCAGCCTGCAGGTGATGCCGAGGTGCCGGGCCTCGACCGCACTTGGAAGGAGCCTGGTGTGCGGAAGCCTCTCCTTGCGCGAGCTGCGCCCCTGTCTGCACTTCACTCCTGTCGTTCAGTTCAGGATCGGGCGGAAGCGGGGCGGGGGCTGCGGGGGCGGGGGGCGGAGAGGGGCGCTCCTGGAGGCTAAGGAACTGCAGTGCGGAGCGGATGTCACCCCGCCGCGCGCCTGCAGGGGCCCGGATGCTTTCGCGTGAATAACACAGGTGTGTGCCGCGGGGAGGCCGACCTCATATCACAGGAGACGAGCTTGCCGAGCGCTGGGGCCATTTTTCTACTCCCTTGACGTTGTTAGGTCCTTTAATACACAAAGTACCCGAGTGATGCTGGTGTTGTTCCCATTTTACAGATGGGGACACTGAGCCACAGGAAACCGGGAGGGACTTGCGCAGGGCTACACAGAAGCCACAGGTTATGGTCAAACCCGTGCAGGCTGGCTTCCCAGCCCCTCTGCTAACTGTAGGAAGTCCCAATTGCGGGCGCCCATTAGGTCGAGTCAGAGAGTGAGGAGCCACGCACGTGAGGGCCCAGAGTAGTCAGTAAGAGAACATGTGTTTTCATAACTTCAAATAGTCGCAGATTTTACTTATACTTTAAGAATTCAGTGAGATTTACTCTGCCATTCGTTTCAACAAATGTTTATGCAGCATCTTTCACGGGCCAGCCTCGAACTGGACTCTGGAGCTACACAAGGAAATTAGCCAAAGTGTGTGCCTGCAGGAAGCTCCTGGGTAAGACAGAGATACGCAATGAAATCCACAGTCCCAGGAGCCCAGGAGGGGTGCCCTGGGTGCCCTGGGTGCTGCTGTGCTTGTGCCCCGGGAGCGGAAGGGAGCGCTGGGGTCAGGGAAGGCTTCTGGGTGAGGTCATCCTAGCCTGAGTTTTGAGGGACCTACCATTAGCTCACGAGGCGGTGGGACTGGCTTTAGGGAAGGCATGGCGGTGTGAGGCAGCGGGACCACCATTGTCTCCAGGTGCCGGAGTGAGGTGGTCAGAGGGAAGGCACAGGGCCCTGGCCCAGACCCCACCAGCAATGAAGGGGTCCTTTACTCGGCAGTCCTAGCCTGTGCAAGTATATATTCGCGTAAAGTTTATTATGATACGTTAAGCAAACATTTTAACTTCCACCGCTGAAAGTTTTCGTTTGTTTGTTTGTCTTTTAAAAAGAATTTATTGGGCCATTGCTAACAAGAAAAAGCAGGTTGTGGGCATGAAGTCTAAACCACCAGTAGCAGTGCCAGGCGGGAAAGACAACATGTCCGCAGCCCTGGAGTTGAGGACTTTTTTGTTGTTGTTCATCCTCATCCGAGGATATTTTTCCATTGATTTTTAGAGAGAGTGGAAGAGAGAGGGAAAGACAGAGAGAAATACATTGATTGGTTGCCTCCTGCATGCGCCCTGACCAGGGCCTGGGCTGGGGAGGAGCCTGCAACCTATGTACATGCCCTGGACCAGATTTGAACACGGGACCCTTTTGGTCCACAGGCTGACGCTCTATCCACTGAGCCACACTGGCAAGGGCTGCTGTCTTTTTTAAAACATCAGGTGGCGTCCAGCTGGCATGGCCCAGTGGTCGGTTGAGCGTGGACCTATGAACCAGGAGATCACAGTTCGATTCCCAGTCAGGGCATATGCCTGGGGAGTGGGCTTGATCACCAGCGTGGGATCCCCAGGGGGCAGCCGATCTATGATTCTCATCACTGATGTTTCTATCTTTCCCTCTCCCTTCCTCTCTGAAATCAATAAAAATATATTGAAAAATTAATAAAGAAAATTGTATTAAATAGAATAAGACATCAGGCAGGGGGGAGAAAGGTGTAAGTTGCTGTGAAAGAATTCACATTGGCTACAGATAAGGTTGGTGGAATAAGGTGAAGTATGGGCAACAGTCTGAAAAGTTCATGTGTGAGCAAGAATGGAGGCTCCCGGGTGGGTGCAGTGGTGCCTGGCAGAAATAGCCGCCTGGAAGTTAACCACCAACATGCACTCGGAAATATAAGCGGTCTTGTTGCTTTGCCCTGCAGTTGTTAACTGATCAACCCCTTCTTGTCTCTACCTTCCACCCTGTTGTAATTTAATTTAGGACAGCTCAGAATTTTCTCCTTATCAAATGGGAGGTGGCTGTGGTGTGTGTGTGTGTGTAGGGGGAGGAAGGGAAGAGTAAGAGTCTACATTTAGCCGCAGGCCTCCACCCATCTGTCTGCCTTTCCATCTAATGGTATTGTCCTGTAGTGCCCTGACCCCAGGGTGGTTGCTTAAAGCAAAAGGTTTTATTTGAGGAAGGGAAGGGAGGGTAGAGAAGAATAAAATCAAGCACATTAAATGATGGGGCCCAAAGGAATCCATAGGCACTTAGGAACCCTGAGAACATTAAACTTTTTACCTCGTTCCTGGGGTGCCTGGTAAGCATAAGATGTCACGCCTCTAACCGGACAAACCAGCCGCACACACAACCAAAGCACAAGCCGGGTGGCAGCTTTCAGTGTTCCTGGGGCCGGCTCCTCGCCCCGCAGTGGGTGTGTTCACTGCAGAGATCTTTGGCTTCTAATATGATGTTTCAATTTAATTTTCAAATAAGTAATATGTTTACTTGGTTCAAAAATCACAAAGTGTTAAAGGAAAAATTCCCCCTCTCATTGCATCATTTTCTCTAACCCTTCCACCACTCATCACATAGTTTTTTGTGTCTTTTCCTAAGTTCTTTATGCATGAATAAGCAAGTGGGAATGTAACTTCTCATTGCCCCACTTTCTACACACATTGTAGGACCTGATAACCAGGGTTCCACACCTTGCTTTTTCCCGTCGGCCACTGTATCCTGGAGCCTTTTCATGTCAGTTCATAGACTTCTTCCTTGTTCTTTTAAGTTTTACAGTCCGTTCTATTGATTGGCATTTCAGCTTTCCCCGGTGGTTTGTTATTTTGAACAACTGCCATTACATAACATTGTGCCTATGTCACTGCCCATGTATGCACGTATGTCTGTAGGATACATTCCTAGATCAGGAATTGGTGGATCAACCCGGACATTTTGATAGATAATGTCAAACTTCCCATCCTTGGGGCTTTATCAGTGTGCATGCCCACCACCCACCCGCTTCTCCTCAGCTTGGTCAGCTGCATGGGCTCAGACTCCCGGGTCTGACAAGCTAATCGGTGAGAACTGGTATGCCCGGAGAATGTTCATTTGCATCTCCTTCACAAGTGTCTTTCCCACCTAAAGTGAATTATCTTAAAAGTCCGAGCTCTGGAGCTTCCCACCTGCATTTGCAATGTCTCTGGAATCTTTGAGAAAATATATACCTTTATTTTTAAAAATAGCTTTTGACATTCTTTGAAAATAAGAGGAGTGCCATCTACAAGCCACTGCTGGGCAATATGAAAACACGACAGGTATTTTGAAATTAAGTTTTGACAAACAACAGAATCTAAAATCAGGTCCCCAGAAATTCACGACACTGTTTAAAGCAGCCTGGCTGAGTTTGGTAAAACAGACTCGTTAGAGCCTTTTGTAAATGTAACATTTGTTTTCCTGTAATAAATATTTTCCCCACGGATCCAACTGTCTTCCCCAAACAGCACTATGCTCTTCTCGGGTCTTGAGAAGAGGCTCCGGAAGTCCATGCGTGCTGAGGCCAGCCCTCCCCGTGTCCCTCTAGCACGGGGAGCCAACTGCCCAGAGAGGTATAGGTTGTGGAGGGCTCGGCTGTCGGCACACCTGGACTGCAAACAACCACCGGTTTGAGCAAATAGCTGGAGGTTGTTTTTGTTTTAATCCTAAAATGAATGGAAGAGTACGGCCCAGTGACTTCTGGGCCTTCGTAAACAGAAAATAGTTGTTCCCGAATGGCTTGCTCCCTAGTGGATCTCATCAGGGGTCCCCAGCGCCGTCCAGGGTTGGGTCCCCAGGTGAGGAGGCCTTGCCCAGTGGCTGACAGCACCTGCGTTTCAGGATGCAGTCGAGGCTGTGGTGTCCCTGACAAGCACATCTGTTGTCTTCCCCACCCTTCCCCACCCAGCCCAGCCTGGGAATCCACCTCGGAAACTGGCCCAGCTGGTGTGGCCTCTGATGAGTGGTTGGGTCATGAGGAGGAGGCCTTGTGCTGGGAGAGGTGGGAGCCCCAGGGGTTAATTTGCCCTCATAGTTCGTAGCTGATTCAAGTCTCTGCCATTAAGCTTCTGCACTCCCCGTCTTCCTGTCCATCCTTGACAACCCAAGACTCCACCTGCGGACCCTTCCTCAGGCCCGGGAGGCATGGGGAGCACTCTGGCTGTGAGCGCGGCCGTTCTGCTGGCCTCGCTTCTGTCAGCAAACGCCTGTTTCCCAACGTGGCCCCTGCTCCCAGGAAGACCTTCGTCTGTTCCCCCAGAAACCCTGGGCCCCAGCCTCTGAGGTCAGCTACTTCCTCGGAGAGGTCACCTTCCAGGCTGGCGATTTGGGGGTCCGGCTGTGAGGGTCAGGGGTGGGCGCTGAGATTCTGGGGAGCACGTGTGCTTTGGGCCCCTTCTGTTTGTGAGAACAGACTAGAGACTCCTGCCTGGGTGGGAGTTCTGACCCGGCCGCGTCCTGCCATGGGGCCCCCATCCAGCAGAACTCCTTGTCCCCGCGAGGGAGCCCCACCTGCTTCAGGTGGGTCACCCGGCAGGTGAGCACACCCCAGGGCTGGCCACCCCGCGAAGGGGCAGCACCCACCTTCCCACCTGGCCCAGCCCCGGCCTGGAGGGAGGAGAGAGCGTCTGCGGAGGCTCCTGGGCTTGTTTCCATCGCGCGTGTGACCCTGACCCAGGACCTGCAGTTTCCGTTTCGGTCTAGAGCTCAGGTGCTCAGCTCAGCTCTGGCCGAGATCACCGCCCCGGCTTCCCCGTCATGCCGGACCCCGGCTGGGAGCAGGGAGCTGGTGGCCAGGTGATGCCACACACCTCCAGTGAGCACCATCCTGATGCCCCCCCTCTGCTCCCCGTGTCCCCTCTGCCGGCCGCACCTCAGGGCCTGCGGCTGCCCTGGGGCCCCCTGCCCCGCCCAGGCCTGGCCAGCCGGCGGGGAGGGGCGGGTGGGGCAGCTTCCAGAGTCGCCCTCAGGCCGGGCCTCGCTGGGTGGCCCTGCAGGTGCCTCCTCTCACGCCTGCTTCCTCACCAGCAGCACCCAGGGCAAGATGGCAGCGACCACCGCCACCACGGCGATGAGGGTGATGAGCAGGAGGGCCCGGGAGCGGCAGCAGAAGGACCGGGTGGAGCGGGGCGCCGGGGACGCCTCGGAGAGCTCGGCCAGGCTGCGGCGCGGCAGGACGCTGTCCTGCTCCCCCAGGGGCATCCCGTGGCGGCTGATGATGAAGATCTGGGGCTCCCGGGGCAGGCTGGGCAGTAAGTCCATGGGGAGCTGGGGACTCTGACTGGGGGACGCCCTCCAGCCGGGCTGGGCGCCGGCCGTGGGGTGGGTGTGGCCCCGGGCACTGGCGGCCGGCGGCCCAGGGGGCAGGCCCGTGGGCACCGCCAGGGTCTGGGCGCTCTTGTCCAGCATGGAGGGCCAGCGGGAGCTCTTCTTGCTGAGGAAGGTGACGTAGCGGCAGATGGGGCAGACGATGGACCTCTGGACCTGCCCGTCCACGCGGGTGGAGAGCAGGTACTTGACCAGACAGTCATGGCAGAACACGTGGCCGCAGCTCAGCGTCCGGCTGGCGCCCTCCAGGTCTCGGAACTTCTCGTAGCACACGGGGCACTCGCTGCCCGAGCTGTCCTTGCTCTCCCCTTCGGACATGGCCGCTCCGGGGAGGCAGGGCCTCAGCTGCGGGTGGGAAAAGCCATGGGCATTAGTGCCATTGCCCCCCTTCACTGCCCACCTGCACCCCCTTCTACACCCCTGCTCCCCTGCTCCTTCCCTTTCTCCTCGCCTCGCCCCCCTCCCCTTTCCCCTTCCCCTTCCTCTCCTGCTGCTCCTCCTCAGTGGCTGAGACCCCAGGGAAGAGACCAGGGGCGCTCCTGGAAGGGGGGCTGGGAGACAGATAATGAGAGGTCCCGGCCCAGCCACCTTGGACTCTGGAGGGAGGTGTGGAGTGTGATGAAGGTGCAGCCTTCCTGGCCCCTCACCTCACGCCTGACACACACACAGGGTGAGGTCACCGCACCTTCCTGGTTCCTCCCAGGAAGTGAAGGCAGGAGACCCAGGTCCCAGGGGGAGCGGGTGGCTGAGTGGCCGCTGCCCCAGCCGCAGTCCAGGCCCCAGTGCGGGCCTGTGCCCCCAGGGGCTGTTTTCCAGAAAAGCCTCTGCTGCCCCTCGTTTCCCGCTCAGTGGCTGCCCGATCCGCTGGTCTGTGTGCAGCCCTGGGTGGCATTCCTCTGTGCTGCGTGCGGCTGTTTTGAAAATAAAGCGCAGAACTTACACATCCAAACGCCTGCAGGCCGTCTGCGTGGTCACATCAGGGAGCCGTGGGCTCATCCTCCGCCTGCCACAGCTCAGCCGTTCGAATGCCGGGCGGGCGGGCGGGCGGCCTCGGAGCCGCTGATGCCCTGCGGAGGCCGAGGTTCGTGTGTCTGGTCTTGTGAAGGCCCTGGGAGCCCAGCCTGTGGGGAAGGACATGAGTGCTAAGGGGCAGGGAACTGTTTTAAACCAAAGGTCCGAGTCACCACGGAGGTACAATGTGGGTTTTAAATATCACCTGAGCCCTGACCGGTTTGGCTCAGTGGATAGAGCGTCGGCCTGCGGACTGAAGGGTCCCAGGTTCGAGTCCGGTCAAGGGCATGTACCTTGGTTGCGGTAACATCCCCAGTAGGGGGCGTGCAGGAGGCAGCTGGTCGATGTTTCTCTCTAATTCTCTATCCCTCTCCCTTCCTCTCTGTAAAAAATGAATAAAATATATTTTTAATAAAAGATAGGCAAGAGAATTAAAGCAGAGAGATGAGAGGATGCAAGGGGAAGAGAGGACTTTTGAGGTTATTTAGTTAAATCTAGTTTGTGGGTTTGTTTGTTTTTTTAGGAAGAGTGGATGGGAGGGAGGGAGAGAGAGAGAGAGAGAGAGAGAGAGAGAGATTGATTGGTTGCCTCCCACAACTGCCCTGAATGGTGCTGGATATTGAGGCCGCAACCAAGGTACATGCCCTTGACTGGAATCGAACCCGGGACCCTTCAGCCTGAGGGCCCACTCTAACCCCTGAACCAAACTAGCCACGGCAAATCTAGCTTTATAGGTCCAGAGAGGAGGGAGGGAGGGAGGGAGGGAGGGAGGGAGAGAGAGAGAGAGAGAGAGAGAGAGAGAGAGAGAGAGAGAGAGATTGATTGGTTGCCTCCCACAACTGCCCTGAATGGTGCTGGATATTGAGGCCGCAACCAAGGTACATGCCCTTGACTGGAATCGAACCCTGGACCCTTCAGCCTGAGGGCCCACTCTAACCCCTGAACCAAACTAGCCACGGCAAATCTAGCTTTATAGGTCCGGAGAGGAGGGAGGAAGGGAGAGAGAGAGAGAGAGAGAGAGAGAGAGAGAGAGAGAGAGAGAGAGAGAGAGAGAGAAGGTTCCATAGATGAGATAGAGAGCATTATTAGGATCAATTAATAGATTGAATAGTTCCTCTTGGGATCAGCAGCGGCGGGAAAAGAGACTCTTCCATGTGAGTTTGTGAAAAAGTAAAAGGGGTTCACAGGATGGGAAAGACGGCCCCCTTCTCACCGCCGGCCTCTGGGGCATCCTTCCTCCGCCCCGCGCGGCGGGAGAGGCGTGCCATTCACGCCCGGACGCGGCGCCCTCCTCCCCACCTCCTCCCTCCCTCCCTCCCTCCCTCCCTCTCCCTCCCTCCTCCCTCCCTCCCTCCCTCCCTCCCTCCTGGGTCCCGCCCCTTCTCTTCACTCCACTTCTACTGTATCCTGAGTTCCTCTCGGGGCCTGGATGCATGGGGTGCTGGGGCGGGGCGGGGAGAGGGTAGCAGAAGGGATGCAGGGCGGCTCTGGCGGGCACAGCTCGCCGGGTACCATGCCAGGTTCTCGGCCGCAGGCACTCCCAGCGGCGCCTCGGGAGCCGGCGGGAGCGGAGGCTGGAGTCGCCGGGGAGGGGGGCCCAGTGCGGAGCTAATAATAGATAATTACAGCAGCGACTGTTTGTTGAACACTAATTATGTGCTTGGCATCTTGCGTTCCTTCCTCATTTAGTCCTGGCAACTCTGGGAGGTGAGTATTATCTCCATTTCACAGGTGAGGGAAGGAGGCTCGGGGCTGAGGCTAAGCATCTCCTTCAGTCACCCTGCCAGCTGGGGGCAGCCCTGCTGTGTCCCCCGCCCCCCCCCCCCAGCAGGGCCTGTGGGGGGCCTGCCAGACCTGGGTGCGGGGAGTAGGTGAAGAATGGAGGGCAAGATGGCAGAGTAGGATGTCCCAGCCCTCAGGCCTCTACAGAGACACTGACCTAAGGAGCATCCAGGGGTGAAAGCTCCTCGCCAGAGCTCCCAGTCCAGTTGTGTACATCGGATGTGTACAGTTTTGTTGCATGTCAGTCAGACCTCTCTCAGTAAAGTGGTTTTAAAAAACGAATAGCGGAAGACGCATCCGTGGGAAAGGGGCTGTCTACAGGTCCCTTCTCCGAGGGACTCTGTAGGGAGCAGCCACTCCAGCGCCCTGGGAGCCAGGGGAGGGCCGGGGCCGGCCCAGGGGAGCTGGCCCAGGAGAGCTGACCTCAGGAGGCCCCCATGCCCAGCTTCACCCACAGCGGCAGCCCATTGTGAGGACTGGTTGGGGTGTCATCAGCCCCCGGACCCCCTCCTCCCCACCTTGGGACAGTGAGCCTGTGAGGCAGAGGCCCTATAGTTTCAGCTATGACCACTTCCCATCCCAAGACACTGCACACACACACACACACACACACACACACACACACACACTCCCACACCCTGCATCACTCCAGTTCGGTCAGGAACCTTGCCAACCTCCGCCTGGATCCTGCTCCTCCACCCCCCCGCATCGACCCCCCCACCCTGCGCTGGGTCCCCAGACTCACTGTGGCTGAAGCCAGGAGGAGCAGCAGGCACCTCTCCGCCCGCCCGGGGCCTCGGTAGGCAGATCCAGCGCCCAGAGGTGCCGGCAGGCAGCACGTCCTCCTGCTGCTGTCACTGTGACAGCCGCCGCCGAGGCATTCCTGAGGACTGAGCAGGCCGGGAGGACAGCGCAGGAAGTGAATGTCACCCAACCCGTTTGAGGCCAGGAGGCTCTTGGCATTGCCCAGGGGGTTGGCAGCTGCTGGAGTCACGTGATCTGGAGGCTGCGAGGAGGGGAGCCCCTGGCTGAGGAGGAGCCCGGGGATGGGAGCTCTGGACAGGCAGAGGGTCTCACAGGAGGCAGCGACCCAAGACCTTTGACGGAGGCTTCCCAGATGGGTCTTCCCATCCCAACAATAAGCCAGTCTTGTTCGCAATCTTCCACTCTCCTGGACTCATTTCAGTGGTCCTCCCCCCCACCCCCGCCCCTGCCATGCCCAGGGTGAAGGGGTCAGATCAACCCCAGGAAGGCTCTGATACCCAAAGTCACCCTATATAATAAAAGGCTAATATGCAGCCGAAACCAGTTTGGCTCAGTGGATAGAGCGTCGGCCTGCGGACTGAAAGGTCCCAGGTTCGATTCCGGTCAAGGGCATGTACCTGGGTTGCGGGCACATCCCCAGTGGGAGATGTGCAGGAGGCAGCTGATCGATGTTTCTAACTCTCTATCTCTCTCCCTTTCTCTCTGTAAAAAATCAATAAAATATATTTTTTAAAAAAAGGCTAATATGCAAATAGACCGAATGGTGGAACAACCAGAACAACCGAACAACTGGTCACTATGACGTGCGCTGACCCCCAGGGGGCATGTGCGGAACATGGCAGGTGTTGGCCGCGGTGGGATGGTGGAGCAGGTGAGCAGGGGCGCCAGACCAAGGTGGGGTGCCGGTTGCTGCCATCGGGGCGAGCCTCTGGTGGTTACTGAAAATTCTTTGCCTGGTGCCAGTCCCGATCACTTGGTGCCATCAGTGGGTGCAAGCGGTGGCTTCGGGCCCTGATCACCCCTGAGGGCTTCTCTACCTCTCCCTGCTCCTGAGGGGCAATTGGGGCAGCAGCCACCACTCCCACCCGCTGACAGCTCTGGCCCTGCTTGCACCTGCTGCTGGCGCCAGCCCCAATGTTGGCAGATAGGGGCCATGGCAGCAGGGGCCGGGTGGGGGTGTGGAGGATGGGCCGAGACCTGCCCCTGTGCCCACCGCAGCCTCGTGGTCCACAGTTCCTTTCAAGGTGCACGAATTCGTGCACTGGGCCCCTAGTATACAAATATTTGGGTGATGTGCCTATGTGTAATTGCCATTCATCTAACGCTCAAAGAGGCTCTGAGCTCTAAAAGACCAAACACCACTGAGATAAAGAATAGGGCAGAGCTTTTCACAGTAGCAGTACCATAGCCAATGAGGTTTACCCAAGGTGCAAGTATTGCTAATTGAAAACTTTCCCAATACTCCACCATGACGACGTGAAATATAGTCAGCACTGGCAATTTTTTAATGGTCTCTACCGAGACTGAAAAAAGAAAAAGAAGAAGAAAAAAACGAGGCAGAGCCTGACCGGTGTGGTGTTCCGGTCAAGGCACATGCCTGGGTTTCGGGCTTGTCCCTAGTGGGGGGCATGCAGGAGGCAGCCAATCAATGATTCCCTCTCATCACTGATGTTTCTATCTCTCTCTTCCTCTCCCTTCCTCTCTGAAATCAATACAAATATATTTTACACACAAGAAACAAACAAACCCAGAATTATTTTTTAAAAAAAGAAAAAGGCCGAAACCGGTTTGGCTCAGTGGATAGAGCGTCAGCCTGCGGACTGAGAGGTCCCGGGTTCGATTCCGGTCAAGGGCATGTACCTGGGTTGCGGGCACATCCCCAGTGGGAGATGTGCAGGAGGCAGCTGATCGATGTTTCTCTCTCATCGATGTTTCTAACTCTCTCTATCTCTCTCCCTTCCTCTCTGTGAAAAATCAATAAAATATATATAAAAAAAAGAAAAAGAAAAAGAAAAAGAATGAGGCAGAGTAAGACCAACGAATTAGCAATGCACGTCTGCATGGCAAGAAGTCCCTGGCGTCATGTGAAAAAGAAGTAAGTTTCAGAACAGTCTGTATAATATGATTCTATTTATAGAGACGATAATAGCATGATCATTTTTATAGAGAAAAATCTGGAAGAAGACGCATTAAACTTGATACTAGTTGTCTCTAAAAGGATGTTCTAACTTAAGCATTCCTGTGACATTTGAATTTTCACTCTGAATGTGTCTTTCTTTCATGATCAGAAAAAGAAAAAAATCAAGAATAAGGGTAGGAGCAAAGCCAGGCAGGCTGGAAACCATCTGGGGGGATTCTCTCCCAGTCCTCTGGGCACTGGGGGCCAAGTCCTCAAGAAACTGGTGTTCTGTCCTGCTGGTGTGGCTCAGGGGTTGAGCGTCGACCTGTGAACCATGAGGTCATCAATTCCCCGTCAGGGCACATGCCAGGGTGGCGGGCTCGATCCCCAGTGATGTGTAGGAGCAGCCGATCAACGATTCTCTTTCATCACTGATACGTATTTCTCTCTCTCTCTGCCTCTTCCGCTCTGAAATCAATTAAATAAATTGAAGTTGGTTTTCTTCTGAAAAAAAAAAAAAAAAAAAAAGGAGGTTCCTGGATCCAAGGCACAGCCAAGTAAGAGTGTGACCCCGTAGGGTGACCCAGGATGCCCCCGCCCCCACCTGCCACGGCTGCCTGGAGGCTGGTAGGGGAGGCGGTCAGGGCAGTGCACTCAGCCACCTCGCTCAGGACATGGGGATGGCTGGGTACCAACGGCTGTGACAAGTCTCTCATGTTCTTTTCCCAGGAGCTGAATCTGAGAAGTCCCAGGCCATCCTAGATTCAGCAAACAGAAATGCAGGCTGCCCAGGTGGCGAGTGTGTTTCCCTCCACGTCCCGCGTGGATTAGGGTTCGGGATCTGAAAGAGGAGCCGCACACAAATGAGAGAGAAAAGAGACAAGAGACAGTTTGGAAATGTTGGGGAGCCAGGCGGGCAAGTCCAACTCAAGGAGAGGGACTTCCACTGATGCTCAGGCTGCTCCAACCTTTTATTGATCTGGGGTAGCCCTTCGGTAAGGACGTTTCAAAGACACACAGATTAGCTCGCCAGCAGACAATTTCCGGTAATAGGCAGAATATCGAATCAACAATAATCAACAAGGATTTACATGAGTGTCTAAGGAATTAAGTGAACTAAGGTGGGGATGATGCTTCAGCTACCGTTATCTAGATTAACTGGGGGGTGCACAGCTCCGACCTTTGCTAGGGCCTCAAAGGTCACTAGCTTTTGGGGGTCTCTACTCTTCTCTGCTAGTGAAGACGATAGGTAGACTCTGACACCCGGGAAAATCTGTATTTCAGATAAACAACAAATAACTTTTAGTATAAGTATGCCCAATGCAATATTTGGGATGTGATCACACTAAAATATTATTCGTTGTTTTATCTAAAACTCAAATTTCACTGAGCATCCTATGTTGTTTTGCAACTCTAGTCCCAGAGAACTCCCACCTTTCTCTCCTTCCATCAGCACCACGCCCCTTGACGGTGTGGCTCATGACTCTGCCTAGGGCTTCCTGGGGGCCCCTGAAAAGGAGTCCCAGATACTGGGCGTCAATGCGCCTGTGTCCCTGGGTAGGGCCTGAGCCGGGTGGACTGCCTTTAGACTCAGACTGATGTGATGTGATTATGGAGTAATAGGAAATTCCTGAGGCTCCCAGACCTTTCCCACCAGCCTGCCATGAAGCTTAACTTTGAAGACTACCTTGAGCATATAAATATGCATTATCATAGTCTGTCATGGTTTTGTGTCCCAAAATTGGAATTCCACTTTTAACATTATATGTAATGTGTATGTCTATATGTACACACACACACACACACACACACACACAACACACACACACAAACACACACACACAAACACACACACACAAACACACACACACAAACACACACACACAAACACACACACACACAACACACACACAAACACACACACACAAACACACACACACACACACAGTAAATATTCAGCTGGAGAAATCTCAGCTTGACTTTATCAGTTGGGTCTAACCATCTAGAACAGTGGTCTCAACCTTGGCTGCACATTCGAATCACCTGGGAATCTTTTAAAAGTCCTGATTTCTGGGCCTCATCCTCCGGAAATTCTGTTTCTTTGTTATGAGGCGGGGCCACACATTAGTAACAAAGAAACAGAGAACCGCTGATCTAAAAGGTGCTGAGGGAAGGGGACGTAGGGCTGTTAATTTTTTTTCTTGTTAATCCTCACCTGAGGATATTTTTTCCATTGATTTTTAGAGCGAGTGGAAGGGAGAGGGAGAGACAGAGAGAAACATCAATGTGAGAAAGACACATTGATTGGTTGCCTCCTGCACGTACCCCAACCAGGGCCAGGGAACCTGCAACCAAGGTATGTGCCCTTGACTGGAATCGAACCTGAGAGCCTTCAGTCCGCAGACTGACGCGCTATCCACTGAGCCAAACCGGCTAGGGCTAGGGCTGTTAAGTTTTGACAGGTAGAAGGGAATTTGTACTCAGAGCATAGGTTGATTAGCCAGAAGAATTTACACTATAAGGTTTGATAGTAGGGATCTCTGGGAAATTGAGATCAGTACACAAGCACTCACAAGTGCTGTGTATGTTTATATAAAGAGAAAGTGCCACAGACCTTTGGGTAAGTTACTTAATCCCTTTGTGCCTCAGTTGCTTCATCTGAAAAATGGGGACAATAATGGAGACCCTTTTGTTCTATAGGATTGTGAGTAGATGAATGGATGCAAATAATGTTCCTGGAACCACACCTCTTATGCATTAAGGCAGTGGTTCTCAACCTTCCTAATGCCGCGACCCTTTAATACAGCTTCTCATATTGTGGTGACCCCCAATTTCATTGTTACAAATTGAACATAATGAAAGCACAGTGATTAATCACAAAAACAATATGTAATTATATATGTGTTTTCCGATGGTCTTAGGCGACCCCTGTGAAAGGGTCGTTCGACCCCCAAAGGGGTCGCGACCCACAGGTTGAGAACCGCTGCATTAAGGTCTCCGGCAACATTATCTACC